GTGTGTGTGTGTGTGTGTGTGTTTGTATTCGTGTGTACGCGCGCGCGCGTGCGTCCATATGTGCGTCCGTGTGCACGTGTGCGTGTGCGTAACGTGACGCCACGTTACGTGACGTTAGCGGTCGCGGTAGCAGCAGGTCGCAATCAGGCGCGCAGGTCGGCCGTGCTCGCCACCAATTAAGCACGGCTCTCGTGTGTGTTGCGTCGGCACTCGGCGGCGCGCGTAACGCGCAATTAAAAAGCAATTTGCGTGCTCGCCGCTGAGCGTATAGGGGAGAGGTTCCGGGTCCGGTTTGCTGCTAGCCGCTACAGCGTTATGGTCGCACCTTCTCAACGTCTGAGAGCAATCTTCTCTTGCACACTGCTCAGGATGGTAGCTGCAAGTCTAGCCACGGAACTAGCACATGCTGTGAGCACGAGCGCGCCTTCTCAACGCCATCAATAGCAGCGCTGCAGCAGTAACGCGAAGCAGCAATTTCACTGAAGTGCATAAATTTGCATTCTCAGCAGACGGCGCATCATAGCTCCCAGGTGAAACACTGTCACCGCGCAGAACTATATCACGTTCATCGACGTACTAGTATCGCATATCCTCCGGTTGCTATAATGCATGTGTAGCGCTGCTGCGCTCAAGCCTGTTAATTAGCATGACGCTGCGCGAGTTTACGAATAATTTGCATCATTTTCAGAGATATCCGATGGGATGCATGGTATGATTATGAGGTTAAGAGGGAGTAAATTCTAGGAGGTGGGTGCGTGTGGAAAGCCGCAAGCCAATAATGTCGCTATCTGATGAAGCGGGGTTTAAGTTTGAGACGCTCATTATCATTTCACCGCTCATTATCTCAGCGTAGGGACATCGTAGGGACAAGCGGTTTGTTTTATATTAGCAAAGTAGGACAGCTGATCAATAATACCACAAAGAATCATCAAAATAAAATGGGCAAAGTTTATTAATTCGACTAATACTGCAGCATGGTTTCAGCATTTCACCGTTGTACGCTCTCCATCTTAATATGCTCTTGGTAGCATTTATATAAATAAATGAATAAATCAGTAAATAAATACACACGTACACACGCACACGCACACATTTTGAAGAGTGAACAAACACGAATTTGTTTTTATTCACTCCTGATATTATAGATTATTGTATTTATAGGCCCCTAATACGTTATATTCGAGTTGTTCGTTCGTTCGTTCGTTCGTTCGTTCGTTCGTTCGTTCGTTCGTTCGTTCGTTCGTTCGTTCGTTCGTTCGTTCGTTCGTTCGTTCGTTCGTTCGTTCGTTCGTTCGTTCGTTCGTTCGTTCGTTCATGTGTGTGTTCGTTCATGCATGCGTGCGTGCGTGTTTGTGCGTGGGTCGATTCAAACATAACCTCATGTTTGCTCGTGCGTGCACATTCGTGTGCGCTGATAATCATTAGGTAAAAATAGATGGTCTGATTGCTTCAATCATTGCAGAACACGAGTGTATGCTCTAACGTCGAGCAGACAAGATACGATGACATGACATCACGTGAACATTTCCGTGACACTGAACACTGATAGACTATGTCAATGAATTTGCGTGGTGGTTGCAAGATTGCCTAATTAAGTTGCCATTTCACACGCTAAACCGTGTGGTTAACCGTGAGCAACATGGCCTTATATGGCGTCTCTAGAAGGAAAACGGCTAA